AATAAAGGCAGTTTATTCAGAGGTAAAGATATCTGGAATCGCGTGCACGGACTCGTGCACGTGTGTAGGTCACCTAAATCATCAGAAAAATTGCCCCTCCTGAGAATTTTTTCAGGAGCCGCCACTGTTCGGCGCATGCGGCAAATAACATTTGATTTGATTTGATGGAGGCCACTGTGTTCTTAGGGACCTTCAATGCTGCAGACATTTTATGGTACCCTTCCCCAGATCTGTTCCTCGACACAATCCTGTCTCGGAGCTCTACGGACAATTCCTTTGACCTCATGGCTTGGTTTTTGCTCTGACATGCACTGTCAACTCTGGGACCTTTATATAGACAGATGTGAGCTTTTCCAAGTCATGTCCAATCAATAGAATTTACCACAGGTGAACTCCAATCAAGTTGGAAACAGGATGCACCTGAGCTCAATTTCGAGTCTCATAGCAAAGGGTCTGAATACTTATGTAAATAAGGGGTATTGTGTGTAGATTGATGAGGAAAAAAATGAATTTAATCTATTTTAGAATAAGGCTGTAACGTAACTAAATGTGGGAAAAGGGAAGGGGTCTGAATACTTTCTGAATGCACTGTATGTGTATCAGTATCATAACATTAATAGAACCCCCAGTATTCTCACCATCATCATCATCGGTTGTTTGGCCGTACTGCATCTCAGTGTTCTGACCGTCAACTTGGAGAAGAGCATCTGAAAAAGGACTGAAACGTCCTGAAAAGGAAATAGCTCAAAATAGCAGCAGAGGTTGCTGTGTCATAGGTTAAACAAAACTGTTCCAGAGTTCAGGCTGATTAGAGACAGGATTATTGTCCACGATTTGATACAGTTGCCAGGTCGAGGGAACGCAAAGAACGGCGAGAGAGGAAGCGAGGTAGCAGAGAGAAACAAAACTCCTCTCCGAAAATAGAGAGAGAAAACGGAGAGCACGGAGTCTCTCGAGAGAGAGAGAAGAGATAGACGAGTAGTCTCTAGCTCTCACTCTATCATAATCTCTCTCGCTCTTCTCTCTACTCTCATATCTCTCTCTCTCTCTCTCTCTCTCTCTCTCTCTCTTCTCCTCTCTCTCTCTCTCTCTCTCTCTCTTTTCAGGTAATTGAAGCGTCGACTGGCCGACCAGCCGACCAGAAGCACCATGACTAGTGTTAACTCCCCCGCCTGCCTCCTGGCTCGCAACCAGTTCTATAGAAGTATGGAGAAACTCTATTTTTAAACCTTGACTTTGTAACTTTGTCTCGTCCACAAGCAAATATTGTACTTGGATGGACCACTGGTTTGGCGTCTGTGTGTGTGTGTGACAGATGACGTGAAAAGTGACAGCTGGACACGTGTTGACTTCATGGATAATTACTGTCAACCTCTGCACTTTTGAACCATAACGCCAAATACTTAGAACAGGGTGTTCTTTTATATATCCTGTTTTTGTTGTTTTTTTGGCTGAACGGTAACCTCACTTTGGGAACATGGTGTCAACACCTGGTCAAAAGAATACAGGACTCATTTTTATTGACTGTAGTCTGGTTCATCTCCTATTTGAACAGTAACCTTCTGAAGATTAACTTCAAAAACTAAAGAAGTTTCAGAGTTGGAGATGATCTCAACCTTTTTTAACCAGGTTGTCCCATTGACGTCAAAATACCTCCTTAGCTCACGTAAAAAAACACAAAGAAGACAACTAATCATTTGATGATGTAAACAACATTCAAATTTACCCCAAGTATTAACATCCAGCCTCGGTCTACAGTACATCCTAAACCCATCAATCCAGCCTCGGTCTACAGTACATCCTAATCCCATCCATCCAGCCTCGGTCTACAGTACATCCTAATCCCATTCATTCAGCCTCGGTGTATAGTACATCTTAATCCCATCCATTCAGCCTCGGTCTGAAGTTAATGAACCATGAAACACTGCAGCTTAGAGGACACATGGAATAACATCCTTAACAGGCTTTGGACTGAATAAAAATCTGGCACGGGTTTTTGCCTTAAATCAAATAATAGAAGCACAGAAACATATTGGTGTGTATGAGGCTGGAATCTGTGCTATGAGCCAAACACATTTACATATTACTCATTTAGCAGACGCTCTTATCCAGAGCGACTTACAGGAGCAATTAGGCACGCCAGCCTGAAAGGATTTACTATAGATTTCAATCAGCCACGGCAGTCTCAATCGGCTGAGAACAAGGCTGGTTTAGTGACAGACCCTCCTTAGCTTTGGCACCCAAGAATGTCCCTGAAGTGCTGCATGTGAGTTTATTTAAAATGTGATAAATGACCTGTTTTATTTCTCTCCTCTCTCCATAGACACTAGAAGCCCTACAGAAGTACAAGACCTACTACAGTCTACAGCAGGGGTGTCAAACGTCCGGCCCGCAAACGGGTTTAATCCGGCCCGCGAGATGATTAAAAAAATAAAATAAAATAAAATAATAATAATAATAATAATAATAATTTTGTAAAGTATAAAAATGCGCTGCAATTTTTCAATAAAATAAACTGCTGTTCCAATTGCGTCCACTCGATGGCGCAATAGCAATTGTGTTAAGCAAGCAAACTGTTTATACCGGGGCAGAGCAAGTAGGTCAAGCACGTGCAGCCAATGAGCTACTTTGTTTTGCCCGCGATATTTATTACGGCTTCTACTTTTAACATTATGTGCTTTGGCACCCTCATTGCCCCAATATGTCTCTGTCAAAAAAGAGAAAAGTGGACGCAGAGTGCAGAGTGTTCCAAGAAAAATGGTCATCCTATTTATTCACGGAATTGAATGGGAAAGCTGTATGTTTGGTGTGTTCAGAGCATGTTGCAGTGCTGAAAGAATATAACCTTCGTCGCCACTGTGAGTTCATGTCGACAAATATGACAACTTTCAAGGACAGCGGAGATGAGAGAAGGTGAATGAACTGTTGGCGGGTCTGAAGAAACAGCAGTCTGTGTTTACTCACAGCCGAGACATCAGTGACGCTGCAGTGAAAGCTAGCTACCTCATTGCTAATGAAATCGCAGTGGCTTCAAAACCATTTAGTGAGGGTGAATTTGTAAAAACATGCATGATGAAGGCAGCGGAGATTGTGTGCCCTGAAAAGCGGCAGGCTTTTGCAAATATCAGCCTGACAAGAAACACAGTTGCAGACAGGATTTCCGATCTTTCAGTGGATTTGGACAGCCAGTTGAAGCAAAAAGTAAAGTAATTTATTGCGTTTTCGGTTGCAATTGATGAAAGCACGGACATTACAGATGTTGCACAACTGGCAATTTTCATCCGCGGAGTTGATGACACATTGACCGTCACCGAGGAGTTCGTGGAGTTGGTGCCGATGACAGATACAAAACGACAGCAGCTGATATTTTTACCGCACTCGTCGGCGAGCTGGACAGGGTCGGAGTGGACTGGTCCCGCGCTGTCAGCCTGGCTACAGATGGTGCGCCCTCAATGATCGGGAAAAAAGCAGGCGTTGTGACAAAGTTCAGAGAGAAAGTGCAATCTGCAAATGGAGGACGTGATTTTTTGACTTTTCACTGTATTTTGCACCAGGAGGCTTTGTGTTGCAAGTCATTAAAGATGGATAACGTCATGAAGGTGGTCATCCAAACTGTTAATTTAATCCGATCCAGAAGCCTGAATCACAGTCAGTTTGACAGCCTTCTCAGAGAGAAAGACCACATCTATGGCCTGCCATACCACACTGAGGTAAGATGGTTAAGCCAAGGTGCTGTGCTGAGGCGTTTCTTTGATTTACGAGAAGAAATTGAACAGTTCATGGAAGAAAAGGGCAAACCAGTGTTAGAATTTCATTCCGCAGAATGGATGCAGGACCTTGCATTTATGGTGGATGTTACAGAGCACCTGAATAACTTGAACAAACAGCTGCAAGGGCGCAACAAAGTTGTCACGCAGTATTATGACAGCATACGTTCTTTCAAGTTGAAGCTGTCATTGTGGGAGACGCAACTTGCCGGTGGTGATGCAGCTCACTTCCCCTGTCTGAAAAATGTGTGCGCGACCCAACATGTGGCAGACATGAAGCGGTTCAGAGATAAAATAACGGGACTGTTACGGGAGTTTGAGCAACGCTTTCAGATTTATGTTTATATGTTTTTATGTTGATGTGCTATTGTTTTTAATTGTTTTTATTTTATTTGTATATTTAACCTATTCTTGACTCTGTGGTTCTTGCACTTGTTTGGGGAACAGGATTTCATTATTTTTATCTACATTTCTGCCTGAGAAATGACACCCTGGTATAGTTCTGTGATCTGTGAAACAGTTCTGTTAATCAATGAGGCATTGTGTGTTTGTGTGTTCTTTTTCTTTAGAATTTTCAAATAAACTTGACGTGTTTTATGATTAATAGTGATGTTGTGCTTGTACTATTTTGGACACACTGTCCTCAGGCTCCAGCTTTATGTTGTATGTTGATCGTATTAAAACAAAGAAAATAATCTGAAGTTGTTGTTTTTAAGTTATATATACCATGATTTTTCCGGTCCGGCCCACTTGGGAATAGATTTTCCTCCATGTGGCCCCTGAGCTAAAATGAGTTTGACACCCCTGCTTTAGAGTGACCTTTTATTGTCCCCAGCACAAGGTGCAACTGTGTAATGATCATGCTGTTTAATCAGCTTCTTGATATGCCACACATGTTAGGTGGATGGATTATCTTGGCAAAGGAGAAATGCTCACTAACAGGGATGTAAACAAATTTGTGCAGACAATTTGAGAGAAATAAGCTTTTTGTGCATATTACATTTCTGAGATCTTTTATTTCAGCTCATGAAACATGGAATGAAAACGTTACATGATGCGTTTGTATTTTTGTTCTGTATAGTTATTTCTTAATTTATTTGTAAAATATTTTCGTCCTAGAGATTGCTGTATTTGCGCGAACTTTTTTTTTCTCTGAGCAAACAAACTACTCAGCCAACCAACTGCACCGCACCTAAGATGAAGTCCCGCCTAGTCTCTCCAGCGAGGGTTGTAGACGTCACGTCGTAGTATAAAAAGGCCTCGCCACCCCTTCAGACAGGCTAGACATTTACTGCAGATATATCGTAGGACGTTGGAGGGTTTTATTTACCCAAAACATACTTTCAAATGGGCCCCGTCGCCTAGCGTTTACTTCCCCAAGCCTCGCCTGTTGAGTTGGGTGCTATTGAACATCAGCACGTCTGGGTAACAAAAAGGTGAGATTTGCTTGAAACGGCTGTTTGATGACTGCAGCGAAGATGCCCGATTTGTTATGCTTTGGGTTTTGGACATTTCTATATACGCTCATGTTCATGTTATTGTTGACCAGCACTGCCAGGCAAGATTTGGGTTTTATTTGGTCCCTTTTCAACAACAAATGCCATGGACAGATCATGTTCTTCTAAAATTAGCTAGCTAGGTAACGTTAGTCGAGATGGCTTTGTTTTCTTCAGCATAGTTACACAGACCACCAAATTATGTTCCGTTATTTTTCTAAACCCGAGTTGGTCATTTTCACCCAAATTCCCAAGAATGCGAACATTGTAGCTAGCTAGCAAAGCTAGGCGCCTAGTTATCTAACGTAATGTTATCTACAGTAGCTAGCTACCTTTGCTAACGTTATGTACCGCAGCGAATGACTGCTGTTGATTTAGAAATCATGGGATTGATTTAGGGAGCATGATCTGGGTTTAGTACCCCCCACGTCAGGGATACATTTTCATATGGAAAATATTTTACCTAGTCATTTGTGTTCGGTAGTCTTGGATGCCTAAAAGTCACAGAACAGATGGTAGCCTGCCTACACACTAACAATTTGAGGCAGCATTGCCAGTAATGATTGCGTAAATATTTATCATATAGCTAAGTGTGAGAGAAGTAACCGTTAACTATTTTTATTCTTGCTTGTTACTGTTTGTACTTAACCAACCATGTTTTCTGAAGAGCTGACTAGGAGCTACATCCTTGCAGAAACGTGTGCAGTAATGTCTTATGGAGCGATTTCAGTATTTGAATTGTATAATTTTATTAGGATATTGAATTTAATATTTGTTCATTTGTAATGCAGAAGTTGAATGATTGAATTCATATATTGAACTTGTAGTTAATTATTTGAAATTCAATGAATATTCATGAAGTTTACTTATTTTATTTTATGAAATGCAATATTTATATATTCAGTTTCAATATGGTAGATATTGCAGCCATTGTCTGTGTATTCAAGTTTACAAACCATCATTTCAAGTTAATCAATGTTTCATATATTAACCTTCTCAAATGCATTCCGTTTTTAAATTCAGGTTCAAAACCAGAGACAACATGCTGGCACTTTGCCTGCCAGGAAAGGTAGAGGAGAACACAGAATCAAACGCTTTGGCTATAAACTGTTATGACCCCATTCCTGAAAGCTAAGACTCTTCTGGAACATGGATGTGCTTTCTGTTCCCCTCTATGGTGCTCATAGGCAGCGTTAGAAGGGAGTGTCACCCAACAAAAAAAAACGCAATTTGGCACCCATAAGAATAGTTGAATAGCCCTTCGAAGGATAACCTTTTCACACCCTATTTAATCGTGATCTTGTGACTAACCGGGTTCTAACCAGGTCTCCTGCATGTCACGACTGTTAGCACACTTAGCTAAAGCCCATAGGGATGAGTTCAGGAAGCTAACAAGTCTTAAAGTCTCCAGCAAGGTTACTCATCAAGGGTGTTGTTCATCGAACCACCTTAGATACATTTCACCCACCTTTGACCTCATACTCAGAGATCACAGCACCAATATAACTGACTGGGTTTGAAATCAGGCTTACTGCACAACACTTTCTGTGGCAAGCAGGAGGGTCTGTGCACTTCATTTAATGAGTGCAACAGGGGGGGGATTGTGATCCATGCATGTGATTACCAGACTGACTACCGGGGGGTGTAGCGAACATTCATGTATTTCGGTCAAATGCCCAGTGGGCCTGTCCAACTTGTGATTTTTTTTGTGCAAAATGAGCTGGCTAATAATGGGGGGCCTCAAGGAAAATAATGGTCCGTTGTGTTAGAAATGCTAGGGACGATTATTGGTCCCAGTCCGCCCCTGGTTCCAAGTCTCTGGCAAGGGTAGGCATGACTGAGTGGCTGGTAAAACATTTGCCCAGTGGGCCTGTCCAACTTGTGTTTTGTGTCCAAAAAAATAAAGGTGTCTGAATGCATCTTCAAACAAAATATTGAATTTAATTTTTTTATTTTAAACTTAATGCAATATTCATTCAATTCTGTTTCAAATCATATAATACAAGTTCAATTTTATGATTTCAATTTACACATTACAAAATACAAAATAATTATCCTAATGCAAAAGTGTGGAATTCAAATACAACTTCTGTTGGCACGGAAATCGTTCCATAGTCTATGTACCAATGTGTCTAACTCAAACCCCCTTTCTTCCAGGGTTTCTAACGCATGATTCAACAAGATTGGCAGAATGGCAGCGATCAACGCAGGCGGTTCTCTTGTGGCTACCCATGACTACTACCGAAGTGAGTAGCTCTCGGGCCGGGGCATGTCTTTACAGACTTAGCCCTCAGGCCCTAACGCAATCAAGCTCTGTCAGTGTGATTTTCCTTTGTCTTCAGAAGGATTGAATCAGTCATGGTAATTCACTTCCGCTTCAGCCTTCAACAGTAGTTTGTGTTCTCAAGCCCTCTCATATACTGTGAACCTAGCCTGAGTCCCAGATCTGTTTGTGTTCTCAAGCCCTCTCATATACTCTGAACCTAGCCGGAGTCCCAGATCTGTTTTGTGCCATCTTGCCAATAATTCTGTCACTGTCACACCAAATGTGACAGGGAAGGAGTTGACAGACAGCACAAACAGATCTGGGACTCATGCTAGTCGTATCTCTTGCCTGTACTTTGTGTCAGGGTTTCCCAGACTCGGTCCTGGGGCCCCCCTGGGTGCACATTTTTTGTTTTTTTGCAGCTGATTCAGATAATCAAAGCTTGATGAGTTGGTTATCTGAATCAGCTGTGTAGTGCTAGGGAAAAAATCTAAACGTGCCCCCCAGGAATGAGTTTGGGAAACCCTGCCTTATGTGACAGACAGAAGTGGATTCTCTTGTATTAGGTAGAGGGGGCTTGTGAGGTGAATGGGTTGTATTGCCCTGTCTATCCCTAGACCATGACAGACGAAACAGAAGAGTGGATTGTCTGAGACCGAGCAGTTATGAACTTGTTGGGATCACACATCTTGGTCATGAAGGATTTGTATTGTCCACTCCTATCCTGATACAGTGACGGGATGAATTCTGTTGCTTTAATATCCTGGGAAAGAGCTTGTGAGGGTGTTTTGAATTTTTATTGCATTGCATCCTCTCCAAACCGTTACATTCCTATTGTGTTGGTTTTTTTCCCAGGGCGCATCGGCTCCACCTCCAGCAGCAGCTCCTGTGGGAGTTCAGAGTACAGCGGGGAAGTCATTCCACACCATCCAGGTACATAAAGCAAGCATATGGGGCGACGGTGGGACATTTGTCTGACGGGGGAAGGGACCGTGTTCAGGGGGAGGTGCTATTATTTGAGCCTCTTGACTGGTAAGGTCGCCTCGCTGTGAGCGGAATCGGACAATGCGTCGGCTCCGTATAGGGTGACCACGTGTCCCAGATTGTGCGGGAAAGTCCTCCATTTTGGCCCCGCAACCAAACAATCATGTCCTGCAATTTCAATTAACAAATTCTTAACACCGCTGAAGCTACTGGCGACGTTAAACACTTCTCCAATCGTTGTTGACGTGCAGCTTCTGTGCAGCGCAAGACGAGGTGGGGCCCTATGACGTTGGACCATCGTCAAAACAATCATATTTCTCAAATCATTTCGGGCTGAACTTGGAGAGGACAGTTGGGGCCTAACTACGTACAGAAAACGTGCTTCTGACGTAGTGCTAGAAAAGTAAATAGCCGTATTAGACTGGAAGATGTAAGGTGATTTTTGTCAAACTTGTGAGGCTCTCGTTGCTCATTTAGTAGTTACGTTTGCAACTGGAGCTGCGTGGCATTGCGCCAATCGCTAAGCAGCGTACTCCGAATCAGTGTCACTTTATCAGATGCACGTGATCAATGCCGTCCGACGCTTTTGTTTCGTTAAACAACCACCTGATTGGTTTGGTAGAAGACCGAGGCTATGAAGTGCACTCGCTACGGGGTGTGGGACGTAATCTATAATAATTTGGCTGCTCTAAATTATTTTCACCAGCAGGTGCCACTAGTGTGCACTGTTGATCAAGCCTTGAGTAATGAACCTATTTTCGACACAATTGGCAGGAAAAACCTCAATGCTTCAGGAAGCTTAGTTTCCCCATCACTACTAATTAGTTGCTCATTCAACATATTTGCTGCGACTTCACACAATCTCTTATTTTTTTATATATTTTTTTCCCCCCCCGAAATGTCTTCCATTCCCTGAGACCAAACAAATGTTTCCTCTGCCAAATATTCAGATTTTCATAAAACAGCCATACATGTGGTCTCTCGTTTCTGCATCAATTGGTCTTTGGGTTCAGCGGACTGCAGGGGCGTAGCGCTGGCGTTGGGTTCAGAGCTGCAGGGGCGTAGCGCTGCCGTTGGGTTCAGAGCTGCAGGGGCGTAGCGCTGCCGTTGGGTTCAGCGGACTGCAGGGGCGTAGCGCTGCCGTTGGGTTCAGCACACTGCAGGGGTGTAGCGCTGCCGTTGGGTTCAGAGCTGCAGGGTTGTAGCGCTGCCGTTGGGTTCAGCGGACTGCAGGGGCGTAGCGCTGCCGTTGGGTTCAGCACACTGCAGGGTTGTAGCGCTGCCGTTGGGTTCAGCGGACTGCAGGGGCGTAGCGCTGCCGTTGGGTTCAGCACACTGCAGGGGTGTAGCGCTGCCGTTGGGTGACACTGGCGCGCCACTCGGCCGCTTCTCACAATGGTGTTCGTTTAGTAATGTTAGATCAAAGCTGAATCAATGTCTTGGAAGATCACATAGTGATTTTAATTAGTATTCTACATAACACAACCAAATATAATAGCATAATGTTACTGTCACACCAAAAACACCACATTTTAAAGGATGGTTAGCTGAATAGTCCAACAAGTTATCAAAACTAAACCGTGCACACCAGTAGGCAGAATATGCTGTGACTGAAACAAAATACAGGAAGGCTATATAGTTTAACACAATCTGCTCTACTTTGCTCACAAAAAAAAAAGTAATTCAAGATCTAAATGCATATTCCCATGAAACTGATTTGAGATCAAATGATTGACACGCAGAGACAGTTTGGACATTTCACTGGTAAAACGTGACGAATTATCATTCATGATTGACCGTGATTTATGCCGTGGCTTATTTTTGAAATTGGGTGTGCCTAACTTGGTGTTTTTGAGGGTATTGAAAATGGATTGTATTCTTGAGCGAGACAATGTGTTGGCATAGTCAGAAGGATATACATTTATTTTATAATGGTATTCATATTTATTTATTTTTTATTCATGTAGGCTACATTGTCCTGCAAAATGATCAGTTTGTCCCGCATTTGGGTATTTTTTTAAAATGTGGCCACCCTAGCTCAGTCAGTTGACTTGTAATCTATTAGCCGACACGGTGAACTGCAGTTGTTCAATGTGACATGGCACTTTTTTGAGCAATGACCAGTTGAAACCTGGGAACCTAATGTACTGTCCATTCAATCATTACTCCCTCGAGTGATAATACCTCTGAACTCTACAGCGTACTGCTTAGTAATGCGTACTACACCCTCAAAGTAAACCCTCCGCTAAGATGTTATTGTTCTCTATAGACTGAGGCCTTTTTTTTTTCTTTTTTTTTTGTAGTGTTTGACCTTTTTGTCGTAATCTGTTCCTAGGTCTGCCCAAACAAGACTCGGGACATTGGTGGTCCAGCTTCTTCTTCGGGAAGCAGAACCAACCAGGAATGACCACTCTGCCTGAGGAGGTCCAGCAGAAGTATGTATACTAAGGGGGAGAAGTATGTATACTAAGGGGCAGAAGTATGTATACTAAGGGGCAGAAGTATGTATACTAAGGGCAGAAGTATGTATACTAAGGGGGAGAAGTATGTATACTAAGGGGGAGAAGTATGTATACTAAGGGGGAGAAAGGGGAAAAGATGTATACTAGGGGGAAGTATGTATCTAGGGGAAGAAGATATGTATACTAGGGGTCGAGAAGTATGTATACTAAGGGGAGAAGTATGTATACTAAGGGGAGAAGTATGTATACTAAGGGGAGAAGTATGTATACTAAGGGGAGAAGTATGTATACTAAGGGGAGAAGTATGTATACTAGGGGGAGAAGTGTGGGGAACGAACTGGCTGTCATAGTGAGGGGGAAACGGGCTGACCAACATTATCACTCTAAATGCAGTAAGGCTACTCTATATATATATATCTCTGTCACCTCATTTGACAATCCAAAGCACCAGCTCTTTAGAAGTGTTGCGAAAACTATTTCAACGGGTACAGGTTGTACTCGTTAGCTGGCATCTCCAAACCCTTATTAGGGCATAGTCTTGCTTCCTGAACACTCTCTCCTGGGTACCTCCCTACAACAGGCACGCCTTTCTGGCACAGAGTAAGGCGTAATCACCGCAGTTCTATCTGCAAGTTGCACCCTGTCGAACACAACCCTGGTTTTCTTTGCACTCGCACTCAACCTCTCCCTCCTCCTCTCTCTCTCTTCCAGGGCGGCGGCCATGACTGTGACCAACGGCGAGGTGACCTGTGTTGCCAGGGAGATGATGATGATGAAGAGGCAGGTCAGCGACGCCGGGAGGTCCGAGCCGGGGAGTCCACCCCTCTCCTAAGGCAAGGGACCAACGCTAGGAGACGGAGGCTGCGTCCCTGTCCCCTAAACCCTTGAATCCGTTCCAACCTCCACATTACATAGAATGTATGCCTGATACGTCGTTTCATACTAGGTAGTATGCTAGCGTAGATATTGGGACAGACCCCCCTTTAACCCTCAACTATGGGTGTGTCCCAAATACCACCCTATTCCCTATTTAGTGCACTAATTCATTATATAGGGTGCCATTTGGGATGTAACCATGTTCCAACATCTGCATTAGCAAACTACATAGAATGCATGCCTGTTGCGTTGCTCCATGCTAAGTAGTATGGATATTGGAACAGACCACTTTAGTTTGTCTTAGTAGGACAGGCTGCCAATGAACGTTGTGTTTTTTTTTTTGTATCCAGTTTTTGTATTATCTTTGACTAAAAATAAAATGAGGACAAACCATTTATTTGTATTACATTTGTACTTGTCTGTAACACCGCGGTACACACACACACACAACTTTTGTTAACTTGGTCACCCTGTGATTCCAGTAAAAGTGGTCAAGCAGACGGATTATTGACTTGTCTGTCATTTTTGTTTCTTTTCGATGGAATCGATCGCTCTGAAATACTGGAAACCATCTCTGTATGCCAAGCACAGCGTCAACATTAACTTGGCACTCAATGTCCAACTCTTTCCTGCTGAAGTACTGGTAATAGACCATTCTGCTAAGTACAGAATAAACATTTAAATGGGGACTCTCATTCCATTCCTGCCATGCTGTGGCGTTTGAGGAAGTTACCTTAAGTAACCTGATGTCCTAGGACTGTACAGTACAGCCAGAGATTTCACTGCAATTTTTGGGGGGGATTTTTTAAAAATATATATTTTTTGTGGGGGGGGGGGGGGGCTGAACAGGTGGGGCTCAAAACAGCCCTAATGACGGGTCGCCACTGAAAGTACTGTATGTATAGATCGGTGTAATCTAGAGCAAAGCCTGTTGGCTTTTCATCCGAGGGTATCCTGCTATTGACACTTGTCGAATTATTCAGCAGTACGTGACCACAGTAATTAATGAGGCAGTCTAGACAGAGCATGTGAGTGCAGGTAAGCCTAGACAGCGCATGTGAGTGCAGGTAAGTCTAGACAGCGCATGTGAGTGCAGGTAAGCCTAGACAGAGCATGTGAGTGCAGGTAAGCCTAGACAGCGCATGTGAGTGCAGGTAAGCCTAGACAGCGCATGTGAGTGCAGGTAAGTCTAGACAGCGCATGTGAGTGCAGGTAAGCCTAGACAGAGCATGTGAGTGCAGGTAAGCCTAGACAGCGCATGTGAGTGCAGGTAAGCCTAGACAGCGCATGTGAGTGCAGGTAAGCCTAGACAGCGCATGTGAGTGCAGGTAAGCCTAGACAGCGCATGTGAGTGCAGGTAAGTCTAGACAGCGCATGTGAGTGCAGGTAAGTCTAGACAGCGCATGTGAGTGCAGGTAAGCCTAGACAGCGCATGTGAGTGCAGGTAAGCCTAGACAGCGCATGTGAGTGCAGGTAAGCCTAGACAGAGCAAGTGTTTAATGGTTGCGGCCCTGTTCCACCCCTTTTATGTTAATGTGTAAATATTGGATTAAAATAATTATACAAGTTTGGGGTATTTTCATCCGTTGCCCAACTGTTGCTTTTATTAGAATTGGTTTTTAAATGACCATTGCTAATTGAGTCACGACACCATATGATCAATGACACCGTTCCATTTGTCTTATAATGAGGGGGGAAAAACTGTCAACCAACATTCAGCAACTTTATCCTGGAAAATACATTTCTTCAGAAGAGCAAACGCTCATGATCTGCAGATATCTTTCAGTTAAAGTTTTTATTCGTGAGGTTGGGATGCATAAAACAGAATTGAAATAATATTTTACTATCTGCAAAATACATTACATTTACATGCATATAAGGTGATACATTTGCACAAATGGTGAACGAAATGCTACTGTATGTCTAGATGGGAAGCCTACTGTTGTATCCATTTAGATTATGTAAACACATCATGCCCCTGTTGACCAGGAACCAAACACATAGAACACAAGGAAACATAAAATGACCTCTGGTTGTGAAAGGGATCATTTGTCCATGTTCCTGAACTGAAGTGCTTTTATCTTTAGACCGAGGAGCAGTTTTTCCAGGTCAACGGGTAGCTGTTGTGTTGTGTGGCCCTTCTCACAGAGAGAGAGAGCGACAGAGAGAGAGAGAGGGAGAGTCCTTCTTGCTGAGTCTGCTGTTTTTGTCTGCTGCCTGCCAGCCTCTCTCTAGCTCTGCACCCAGCAACAGGTTTCTGCTGTCTGTCTCTCTAGCTCTGCACCCAGCAACAGGTTTCTGCTGCCTGTCAATCTCTCTAGCTCTGCACCCAGCAACAGGTTTCTGCTGCCTGTCTGTCTCTCTAGCTCTGCACCCAGCAACAAGTGTCTGCTAAGAGGGGTTTGAGGATCTGCATTGTACAAGCAGATCTTATTCAACTACCATGCTGCACCAAAAGCAAATACCACCAACCTTTGGGCGTGTTTCAAGAAACAAATCTGAATCATCTCAACAGATTCCTGCTATAGGAAATTGGTGAATCTGATCTGCGATCAGATCTTATTTGAGTCTTGTCAGTAGGTTCTTGCTATAGAAGGGTTGGATGATCTGATCTTTTATATTCAACTCATGTGTAAAAGAATGTTCCCATATTGCTGCCTGGCAACCAGCCAGGAAAATGGAACATCTCGTTCCTTCAGTTGTGCTGCGGATAGGACAGGATGTGGCCAAGTTACGAAAAGAAGGGAGGAGGAAATTAAAAAAGAAAGAGGGGTGGAGGGAGAGGGGTCCCCGCAGGAGGCCTTTTTGACTTTTGGTAGGCCGTCAACTGACTTGCTTAGTTAAATAAAGGTTAAATAAAATAAAAAACTAAAGAGCGGAGGAGGCGAAGGGACTTTACTGGGCTGTATAATAATAATAATAATAATAATAATATGCCATTTAGCAGGCTGTATGTGGTGGGATTGATTCATATAATCTGTTTTAGAGAGCGCTTGCAGAAATTGCTTATTTTTCTCACCCTTCCTTCTGCCTCCAAAAACAGGAGTCAGGGAGCAGGAGTCAGGGTAGGGAGCAGAGGAATATGGAAAACATGTCCAACATTGACTGGCTTGATCAAGTCCATATTTCTGTGCTGAGAGGACAGACAGAGAGGAAGATGTCTTTCTCGCTCATCTTCCTCTTGGAGTCTTTCCCTCTGTGTGGTGGTGTGTCTCTACTTGGGCTGGGTCTTTCCCAGAGTCTTTCCTTCTCTGTGTGGTGGTGTGTCTCTACTTGGGCTGGGTCTTTCCCAGAGTCTTTCCTTCTCTGTGGTGGTGTGTCTCTACTTGGGCTGGGTCTTTCCCAGAGTCTTTCCTTCTCTGTGGTGGTGTGTCTCTACTTGGGCTGGGTCTTTCCCAGAGTCTTTCCCTCTCTGTGTGGTGGTGTGTCTCTACTTGGGCTGGGTCTTTCCCAGAGTCTTTCCTTCTCTGTGGTGGTGTGTCTCTACTTGGGCTGGGTCTTTCCCAGAGTCTTTCCCTCTCTGTGTGGTGGTGTGTCTCTACTTGGGCTGGGTCTTTCCCAGAGTCTTTCCTTCTCTGTGTGGTGGTGTGTCTCTACTTGGGCTGGGTCTTTCCCAGAGTCTTTCCCTCTCTGTGTGGTGGTGTGTCTCTACTTGGGCTGGGTCTTTCCCAGAGTCTTTCCTTCTCTGTGGTGGTGTGTCTCTACTTGGGCTGGGTCTTTCCCAGAGTCTTTCCTTCTCTGTGTGGTGGTGTGTCTCTACTTGGGCTGGGTCTTTCCCAGAGTCTTTCCCTCTCTGTGTGGTGGTGTGTCTCTACTTGGGCTGGGTCTTTCCCAGAGTCTTTCCTTCTCTGTGGTGGTGTGTCTCTACTTGGGCTGGGTCTTTCCCAGAGTCTTTCCCTCTCTGTGTGGTGGTGTGTCTCTAGTTGGGCTGGGTCTTTCCCAGAGTCTTTCCCTCTGTGTGGTGGTGTGTCTCTACTTGGGCTGGGTCTTTCCCAGAGTCTTTCCCTCTGTGTGTTTCAATCTGTTGATTGGTGATGGTGTGTCTCTACTGGACAGCTCTGTTGGCTGGGCTGGGGGCTCTTGACGGGGGCTGTACGGGGTGTGGAGCTCCCCAAAACCACGCTGACCCGCCGTCCTCTAGATATCCCCCCTGCTCCTGGGAATCCTGGAGAGGATATGGAGGGGTGGGGAGGAAGGTTAAAGAAGGTTGCATTATAATCGTACCTGTAGGGTCTAAGTGAAGTGTCACCGTAGGTTGCATTACATTTTGAGTGATGTCAGTGCTTGAAGTGGAACGTTAAAAGTTCCAGTTACTAATTTTAATGTTACAGTACTGGGGTTCAAATAATAGAGCAAATAGTCTACAAGACGGTGCCGGTACTCAAGCAGTAGAACATTTGAGGTGCCAATACTCTGTACAGGACAGTACCAGCCCGGTCGGACCACTGTGACGTTAATCTCATTCATTTTGATCAAATAAAACCCAAGATCGTCGTCATTAAAGGAGCAGTATGGAGATCAGGCCGGTTCAGTCACCTGGTTTTGTTGACATGGTCACCCAGACCGTTACTTGTCTTTGTTTGGGTGCTAGCGTCGACCAATCAGAGAGGCTGTAGACTGGAGTAGGTCTTGTACTTTCTGTAGGGCTTCTGGTGTCTATGGAGAGAGGAGAGAAATAAAACAGGTCATTTATCACATTTTAAATAAACTCACATGCAGCACTTCAGGGACATTCTTGGGTGCCAAAGCTAAGGAGGGTCTGTCACTAAACCAGCATTGTTCTCAGCCGATTGAGACTGCCGTGGCTGATTGAAATCTATAGTAAATCCTTTCAGGCTGGCGTGCCTAATTGCTCCTGTAAGTCGCTCTGGATAAGAGCGTCTGCTAAATGAGTAATATGTAAATGTGTTTGGCTCATAGCACAGATTCCAGCCTCATACACACCAATATGTTTCTGTGCTTCTATGATTTGATTTAAGGCAAAAACCCGTGCCAGATTTTTATTCAGTCCAAAGCCTGTTAAGGATGTTATTCCATGTGTCCTCTAAGCTGCAGTGTTTCATGGTTCATTAACTTCAGACCGAGGCTGAATGGATGGGATTAGGATGTACTGTAGACCGAGGCTGAATGAATGGGATTAGGATGTACTGTAGACCGAGGCT